GCTCATAGTTTCGGGTAGAAGTACTCTTCGCTCAGGTTGTTTTACGTAGCTTAACCCAGGTAGAATCGTTTCGCCTAGGGGGATTCAGCTCATAGTTCCGGGTAGAAGTACTCTTCGCCCAGGCTTGTTATTCTTAGCTTAACCCAGGTAGCACCTTTTTGCCTAGGGGGATCCAGCTCATAGTTTCCGGGTAGAAGTACTCTTCGCCCAGGGTATTTTTCGTAGCTTAACCTAGGTAGAACCTTTTCGCCTAGGGAGATCCAGATCATAGTTTTCGGGTAGAAGTACTCTTCGCTCAGGGTGTTTACGTAGCTTAACCCAGGTAGAACCTTTTCGCCTAGGGGGATCCAGCTCATAGTTCCGGGTAGAAGTAATTTTCGCCCAGGCTCGCTTTTTGCAGTTTAACCCAGGTAGAACCTTTTCGCCTAGGGGGATCCAGCTCATATTCCGGGTAGAAGTAATTTTCGCCCAGGCTCGCTTTTTGCAGTTTAACCCAGGTAGAACCTTTTCGCCCAGGGGATTCATTTTCATTTCAGTAATACATAACACTAGCCCCTGGTTACATTTCTTTTCCGTAATACAGGGTGCCATCCCCTGGTTACATTTCTTTTCCGTAATACAGGGTGCCATCCCCTGGTTACATTTTCTTTCAGTAATACAGGGTACAACCCCTGATTATATTCTTTTTCCATAATACAGGGTATCAACCCCTTGTTACATTTACTTACCAGTATCAGGATACACCAATCCCTAGTCGCTTTTCCAATATAGGGTCTCCACTCCTTAGTTTCTTTTATTTTAGATATAGGGTCTCCATTCCCTAGTCTCTATTTTTTTATTTTTTTTTTGAGGTACACCATTCTCGACCTTTTATTGCTTTCAATAAAGAACTAGTTTAGAATTTTGTTACAATAACTCATGAAATTTTCCTAGTACAAACTAGGGCAGAAAAATTTTGTTCGTTTGTTTGTTTTGGTGTCTGAGTAGGTTTTACCTCGAGGCACAGGGTTCGAGATGGCCAAAAGAAGAAGTCTCAATTCAGAATAAAAAAAAAAAAAATAGGTGAATCCAAAATGCAAAAGCAGTTGAAAAGATGTGGAATGCTCAAGACATGACTGAAGCCACGAGCATTGGAGTCTCGTTTTAGAAGAAGCTATAGAACAATGAACTAGCACCTACAGCTAGCGAGCATCAAGGTTTAGATCAGAGTCTGCATGAAGAACCAGTCAAGACTCAAGATCAAGTTTCAGAAGACTCATAGACAGGAATCTTGTAACTCATAGCTTATAGGTTTGTTTAGTTTCTTTTTTTTAATATAATAGCAGGATCGCGTACCGGAGCCTCGACGGAACCTCACTCGACTCCTCAACTCATCATTCCACCATTCTCCTTGAACTACACGTGACCTGATTCCCCTATAACCCGGGATATGTAGGCAGTCCAAAATCAAGACTCGGTTATGCCCTATCTTTTATTTCTTTTCCTTTTGAATAACAGTTTGGTCAAAAATTAGTCACATGGCTCACCTAGTCTTTGCCTGAAAACTCTTCATGTTTCCAAGCAAAGAGAGACAGCTGTGAGCACCTAATTTTTGACTATATTTGAATTTTTACCACCTTCTACTATGTAAATATTTTTAGAAATGTAATATATATTTTTTTAGCTTTGTTACATTTTTTTAATATAGGGTAAGAATTAAAAATAATTTAAAGGTCAAATTATTATTAGAATTATTATCTTTATTTTTTATCTTTATTTTAAAATAAAATAAATTAAAAAAACTGAAAAAAATAAATATTTTTTTAAAATTTTCGGATGGGAATAAAATAATAGGAAAATTAAAAGTATGAAATAAAAAATTAAAAGTAAAACCAAGAGAAAATTGTTTTTTTAAAAAAGTAAAAGAAAGTGGAATATTAAAAACATAAAAGTAAAAGAATGTGGAAATTTAAAAAATAAAAAGTAAAAGAAGTTGGAATTAAAAAATAAAAGTAAAGGTAGCTGAATTTTTTTTTAAAAAAAAAAAGTAAAAGAAAGTAAAAAATTTAAAAAAAAGTAAAAGAAAGTAAAAATTTTAAAAAAAAAAGTAAAATAAGTGTAATTTAAAAAAAGAAAATTAAAATAAATGGAAAGTAAAAAAAGAGTAAAGTAAAAAAAAAAGTGAGAAATTAAAAAATAAAAGTAAAGTAAAGTGGGGAATTAGTTTTTTTTTAAAAAGAAGAAAAATGGGAAGTGAGAATTCTTTTTAATTAAAAAATAATAAAATAATAAAATAATAAATCTAAAAAAATTCCGAATTTTTTTCTTATAAATAGAAGAGAAATGTGAGGAGAAAAGGGGAGAAGGGAGGAAAAATAGAGGAGAGAATTGAGAGAAAAAGAAATTCTTCTTCTGCGTTAAGTGAATTTCTACTCGTTTCATTATTTCATTCGAAAATTCAAGCAATTCATCACCCTGTTTAAGACCCAAAAATGCCTCAAATTCAAGCCTAAAAATACCTTGTGAAGCTTCATTGATAGTCACCTCTCTCACGCCAAAAACCATCAGCCTCACGAGGTATAGTCGAGTTTCAGTTCGGACTCGAATTTTAGAAGGTTCATCGCTAGATTTTCTGCTCATCTGCCGATTTTCCCTTGGTTTGGTGTATTTGCTCGGCTCAGAATTATTTTTGCATTAATCAAGTTCTGAAGAAAATTTTTTACTTAAAGGTTCATTGCTTATCCTCCCTTTGTTAATTATTTCATTGTTTTATGTGATGTTCTTATAGAGGTTCATGCGATAATTTTTTGTGTTGTTTTATTTATACACATTATCATGTTGTAGTTTCTTTTTACATGTTTCAAGCGATTTGTCAACAGATTATTTGAATAGAATTTCATCTTAATGAGATTTGCTATTTAGAATTAAGAATGAAGATCTTGCCATATTAATGGGTCATGCGTTGGAGTTCAAGTAAGTGAACCAGAAATGAGTTACCACATTTAATAGGAAAGAAAGAATTAG